TATAAATTGAGAATTTTGTGAAATTAAATAAAGCTACAGTTTGTTTATAATTTAAAAAGAAGTTGTTTGGTTTGAGGAAAAATTTTAAATGAGATTATAATAAATAATTGAGAATTTTAATATAAAATATTTAGATTTTGGGTAATAAAAAAATATATATATACACTTTTGTTAAATTTAAATAGCCTTATATGTAAATTATTTTTTTCAAAATAATATTTATTATAAATGCCTAGATTTGGGAGAGTTAATATATTTATGTAATTTTGGTTTAGAGGGTAGTCTTAGAATTTTAGAGTAGCTTTGAAGTAGTTCTGAGTTTATATTAATAAATATTTATGTGCAATTTTGTAGACTTGAGAATTTTGGAGTGAACTTTGTGTGAATATTTGTAAGCTACAGAGTACCAGGTAACTCTGAAAATTCTTTCTTGTACATGTGAATTGTGTATGATTATATTGTGGATTTACTAATTATTATATTCCTGAAATATAATATTATGATTTTTGTAAAAATAAATGTTTTGGTATGTTACATGATTCTATTAAGATTTGTTGCTAGTAATTATGGTCAATATTTAAATATATTAATAGCTATGAAATTATCATGAATTGCTATTAAATGGTATATAAGTTTTATTGCTATCTTATTTTTAATATATTTGAGGAAGTATTTATGATGTAACATTGTTGGCATCTGACATGCATTGTTGGGCTAAGGATAGAAGGAGATTGCATGGATATAAAATTACCACGTGGTATGCTATCACTTGGTGCACAGTGGATGGCACTTGTCAGGGCCCCTTCTTCCATGTTTTCCTCTGGTCGGGAATTCATTGGAGCTGTGGGACATGTGGCACCTCCTTATTCACAAAGGAGGGGAGCCATAGTCCGAGCTTAAGCTCTATATCTTTGGCCGGATATATCTCTAGTATCGGTGAGTTTGGAATAATTCAGTAAAATGGATTAGTTCCTATCGGACTATGTGTTAGCCTATGGCTCCAGTCAGCGGTATAAGGGTGGACGGTGATATAAGGGAGGCAGCATATTGCATTATTTTTGGATATATTAGAAAAATGATATTGGTATATTGTTGGGGAAAAAAAATGAAATTGAATTGGATGTCTCAAATCCGTGATTTTTAATATATTTATATACACACATATAAACGGATTTTTGGTTTATCATATATGATTTGCTTGTATAGGTTAGAATTTCAGTAGTTACTGAGACGTTTGATCTCACCCCCTATATTAACAATTTTCAGGCGAAGAATCTAGTAGGAATCAAGAGAAGGCACCAATGGAGTGAGCCGTGAAGGCTTCTATGCTCCTCAAGCACATGCTATTTGCCATGACTATAAGACTTTAATAGTTTATTTTGTTGTTATATTAGAAATATTTTGAAATTTTGAGTTGTTTGAAGTATTAGAAATATGTATGGACTTTTAAATTAAACATTTTGTTGCATATATTGATATAATTATGTGAGATGTTACAAAACCAGCTCAACAATTGGGTCCTATATTAAGGATCGGAGGAGTATAAGATCTTGTTTGACTTTTAATTTGGTCCTAATTATAAGACCCTAATTTATTTTGTCTCTCATATTTATGCGTTTTTTCTCCAGATAGTCATTCTAATAATAGTAGTTACTCCTCCGGTCCTTAATATAGGACCCAATTGGTGAGTTGGTTTTTGTAAAACCCTTTTGCTTAAACATCAATACTTTTCATAAGACCACTACTATGGTAGAAAAAGAAAGATGTTACAACAACTACCATAGTAGAAAGAAATTGCGTAATTTTAGAAAAATTAACATTTAAAACTCGGTTCCATCTCAAACGCAGTTGCATGCAACTATCATCATTCAATCACAATCACTGGGCCTCCGAGCCTCCGGCTCGGGTAACAAAAGACAACAAAATTAGCCCATCCAAACGGTTTCCAACCATGTAAATCCAAGTTCCATAATCAGTAAAAGGGGGCCTCCGGCCCAATTAAAATAAGAAGAAGATACACTTCCTCCAGTTTACAAATAAACCGGGCAATCAAAATAGTTTAAAAGGACCCTAAACGTGGCAAGAGGCCTACGGCTAACAAAGCTCAAGCCTCTGCGTCTCTTCCCGAAGGCGCACGCCTAGAACCTTCTCCTGAAAACATTGTAAACCACGGGGTGAGACAAAGTCCCAGTAACCAACCTTTCCAATACTAGGTACTACTAAATAGGTGCTCGTGAGGTGTCAAGTGGGGCAGTTCACAAATCATATATATATTGATAGCCACAACAATTCATGCAAGTGCAAAGATGCAATCCCATCAACCAAATCCCTCACTTTGGGGGATTTTCAGGAGCCGAACCCGGCCTATCCCTCACTATGGGGGACGTAAGGAGCCATAAAGGCCTATCCCTCACTCTGGGGGACGTAATGAGCCCGAAGGCCTATCCCTCACTACGGGGGACGTAAAGAGCCAACCATCATGCATTAATGGAGGCCTTACCACGTGGTAGTAACAGACAAAACTCTCACCAAATTCCCAATTAATGCATCATGCTCAAATCATAATCAAGAGTAATAATCATTTCACAATTAACCTCATTCAGTGGCATATCTTTCACAATTCCACAATTTCATTCATCATAAGTCCAAACCCCACAAGACGGTTTTCCATTTTTATATACAACATATAGTTCGAACACCATTACTATTTGGAGCACAAAACACAAATATACTCACAATACCACAGAAGCAAGTACTAAGGATTGGAAAGTGGTTACCTCTCGCCTGAGCAAGGAATAACAAACCAACGATGTGGCCCCGTGCACCACCAAGACTCACAACCAGTATACACAAGCACACAAACACACAACCATCATATATTAGCTTTCAAACTAATAATGTGGCCAAAACAACACTTGGGGACACAAAATTCCTATCTCCCATCAAAACTCTACCCAACTCAAAGGGTATAACTATCAAAACAACACTCAAAAGTCCTCAAAGTCTATTAAAACATCAAGTCTCCTTCCAAGCATCAATTAGAGTTCAAACCTCAAGGACCCACTATAGGAATTCAACCTTCAACATCTCATTTGAGCAATTAAGGTTCCAACAACAAATCTAAACCGATTAAACATCCAATTTAACCCTCCTTAACATAACCCAATTCACAAAACTCAAATTCAATCTCTACATTATCATCCTCAATCCCAAATCATCCAATTCCATAAACCCTAACTCCAAAACTCAAGATTCTTTAAATCCAAGAAAACTACACCGATTAAAAACTTAAACTAACCCAATGCAATCAATTAAACCCAAAACAATCGGTCAAAAACCTCAGTTCCATCATAACTCAGAAAAACCTAGAGTTCCACTAAAAATCCTCAGAAATTCCAAGTAATTCTAAGAAAGAAAGAAGATTAGAGGTTAAAATCACTTACTTGAGGTAATGGATCCTTAGAAATGTCTTTCTCAAGCCTCCTCCACGAAACCCTAGCAGAGCTTCTCTCTCCTCCTTCAGATTTTCCAATTTTCGCACATCTGAACCCTCCAGCGATTATATAGAATCGCGACCTTTCGCCGCGGCAAACTCCATATTCGCCGCGGCGAACTAATCCCGAGAGGGATTACTCGCCTGAAAAACCGATTTCGCCGCGGCGAACTCCAAACTTCGCCGCGGCGAAAGCTTCCCGAGAGGAAACTCTCGCTCGCCCAGAAGAACTTCGCCGCGGCGTGCCCTTACCTTCGCCGCGGCGAAACCTTCCCGAAAGGGAAGCCTCGCTCACCTGAGTAACTTCGCCGCGGCGTCCCCTAGACTTCGCCGCGGCCAAACCTTCCCGAGAAGACACTCCCCTCTGAAACCCCCGGTTCGCCGCGGCGAACATACCCTGAGAGGGGTACGTTCACCTATGCCTCCAACCAACCTCAAATCCAACCTAAACACCAAGATCAAGATTAAATCACTAATCTATCCTCAAAATCAACCCAAAAGAGGCTATTAAAACCCGATAAGACTTAGGATGTTACAGTTTTGGTCCTAAATATAAGACCCATTTATCATATTTATCAATTTTCTCTAAATTATCTCTATGGATACTCCTTCAACCATAATCAAGTAGAAGAGGGAGATGGGGTATTAAGAAAGATGATTATGGTATTTTAGGAAAAACGTGTCATATTTCTTATAATTAACTAACTTACCTAACTTCCTTAATCTAATCAAATTAGTTAAATGGGTCCTATATTAAGGATCGGAGGAGTATAACTTATAACAACACACTTGATTAACAAGGATATTCTAAGAAAAATAACACCTATTTATTACAAATAACTAACTTAACTTACTTCTTTAATCTTCTCAAATTAGTCAACTAGCTTTTATAATTAGGACTGGAAATAGTAACTCTATTAACACTGTAATTACTAATGAACTAAAGCTCGCTTAAAAAAAACCTAATGAACTGAAAATACGTTTTATAAAATTAAAAATAAAACTGAAATTTGATATAAATTTAGGGAGTGCATCTTATATCTTAGCTACTTGGAAAAAATTTTTATAAATAAATCTCCTTAAAACTATTTTCCTCCGTCTATATAAAACTTATATATGAAGTTCCTTTTACCAGAATTATTCGTTTTTTCTCATAAACATTTATTAAATTTGTTATCTTATCAAAATAACAGAACTGTATTTTCATGGTTGTATCCATTACTATTTTCTTTTAAACTGTTCCCCCCGGGGGCCCAGCGAGCATGACTCTATTTTAGCCTGAAATAAAAATATAAAAATAAAGTCACATAAGTCAAGCATTTCTTTTTTATTTTTTAAAAATGTATTTTAAATTTTATGATTTTCTCTCTTTCTTTGTTCTCCTGCTGCTTGTTTGGTGCTCCTAAAAATACTCGCGTCTTGTATTATTAAACTCACGCTCAGGCGATTCCAGCGGAGGGTTCGCTCGCTTCGGGGTTCGGGCTCATCTACAGTAGAACTCGCCCTTACTTCGCTTCACTAGTTCACTGTAAAAAAGAGTGGCGATGCAAAAAGGGCAAAGGCGAAAAACGAAAAAAGGGGCAAAACAGTGAGGCAAGGTGGAGGTAAAAACTCATCATTTTCTTCTGCCCTATTTTCCCTCCCACTCGTCCCGCTGCGATCATATTTGTTTTCTGAGAAAGAGAAACTTCTAGACTTCTGCAATGCATGTTACATTTCTGGGGTCTTTTGATTCTGATGTCAATTTTTCTCACCCAGGAGTTTGCCTCGCCTATGGAGAGAGTTGGCTTCTGAAGCGTCACTCGCTTAGCCCTGCAAAAGGTTTCGTTGACCATTTTTGCGCACATTTCCCCACATTTAACTTTCTCATTCTCCCCGAGCAGCAAACAAGTTTTTGAAGACTGAGTAATTTTAGTTTGTCGTTTTTGCCACTCTTTCCTATATTTCTTCAATAGATGAAAGGCACTGGTTTTCAAGATTCTTAGTTTTTACTCAGTGAGTTAGGGCGCTTGTGGGTTTCAAAACTAGTCTTTGATTTTTCTTTTTCCCGTGGGTTTGGGTGGTGCATTCAATATTCATGTCTTGGCCGGGAAAATCAATGTTCCGGTTCGTACATATTTTCACGTTCTCTACCCTGAGCTATACTGGACGGCTGTGCTCGTTTGCTTCTAAGTATGGCTGTTTTCAGCTGTCCTTGCGGTTTACTTTCTACTAATTGGCGAAGTCTCTGTTATTCCCTTCATGCCAAGATTCTATGAATAAATCTATGTTTTGGAGTTGAAATATTCTTGTGAACTGAACTCAGAAAGGGAAACTCAGTATCGATTGCCGTAGCAAGCAAATGATACACATAGCTTGCTGACTTGCAGTTGACATGGGTTCCTTATAAAGTTCCCAGACCTCTAGCAGCACATGCCTGTTATTAAATTCATTTTAATTAAAACCTAGAACTGAAATTATACTTGGTGCAGAAGGACTGAGACAGAGTAACTGAAACGTGTTAACTGATGAGACTAGAAATACATGCCTATTGTAAGGCAGGCTTCACTGCCTTGTTGCGCTGACTTCCGTACTTGAACACGTGATATCACATCAGTTACATTCTGACGCAATACCCCAAGTTCACTTGATAGCGATGTCTAGCCTTAACTAGTTGCATCTGTCTTGACTATGATTTGCCTGATTACAAAAAATTGATAAATTCATGCATGGCTTTCCTGCATTCTGCTGTAAGTTTGAAACTTTCCAGAAAAATTTTCTTTGCACTAGCAAGATACTGAAGAACCATTATCGATTTCCCATTTCAGGAAGCTGCGAATTGTTTTAGGGTTCACATTTGTGAAACATTTTTCAATTGAGAGCCTGTAGCGGAGATAATTGCTTGCTGATAAAAAATGGCACCCAACCCTAGGGTGACTGCAGCCTATCGTGCAATGACTGTTCTTGGCATTAAGGAAGTTAAAGTTAAACCAGTATTGAAGCAACTTCTCAAACTGTATGATAAGAACTGGGAACTTATCGAACAAGAGAACTATAGAGCTCTTGCAGATGCTATATTTGAGCAGGAGGAAAAAGAGGTGAACATTCCACATCATCTGTTGAATTTTTTTTTTTTTTGGTTTCTTTCTTCTCTTCCAATGCTCTAATATGCTGCTTGGTATTGTTTGATAGTTGCAGGGAAAGAGGAAAAAAAACCAGGACAATGATGTATGTGTTATGTAACACTTGCCATTATGCATCACTTTTTTGATCTAACATCTATGGCTGTTTAAATGTGTGCTGGCTTGTCAAATAATCAGGAAGGAGAGATGGAGGATGAAGAAGCTCAGATGCAAGATGAATCAGTGCGACCTTTGAAGAGGTTACGTTTAAGAGGCCAAGAGAATCAGGCTTCACAACCTCTGAGTATTTGCGGAACCAGTTCAGCTGCCTCCCCATCTAAAATACCTAAAGTAGAAGATGATAAAGTGCCTGAAAGATGTTCCCACCAGCAGCCTCAATACAAGGCAATGTCGCCTCAGTCCAATAAAAGTGCAGAGACTGAAGTTCGCCCTGCCCCGGTGCGAGATAGCATTGTTAACAAGGGAAAGCAACCTTTATCACCTCAAGCTGCTCCTGGAGGAAGAAGATTTGGATCCGAAAGAGCATCTCCATCAGTGCCATGTAAAGAACCTACAGCTGAACGGAGAATTGTGCCGCTACAGAAAGACCAGTTGCCCTATACTTATGCATTAATCAAGCCCAAAGATGAGCCTATAGATGAACTGGTAGATTATGATGCTCCTATTGCAGCAATTCTTCCTGGTATTTTACTGATTTTTCCCTTGCGTGAATTTTCTTGATTTCTGGAACCATTTGCTTATGATAGCATGGCTTCCCTTAGGTAGTTTTTACTTAGTCTGGTGAATTTTGTCATATTTGGTGATGCATGTTGTTCATTCATTGGGACTGCAACCATTTAACTGAGAGTCTGAAACACGGCTAAATGAACTTGTTAAGGGTGTAGACCAGATCGGAATACACTTTAAGGGAGGGAGGCTTGATTCTTCAGCACTTAAAAGAAGATATAAGTTGATTTGCAAAATTTATTTAACCATTTAACCATTTTAGTTGACGGGACCTTTTATTTTTCTTATTCTTCTTCTTTGAACTGGCAGCATAAGTCACTTTGATTTCACTAATTGGATCGGATGGTCGTCATTTGAGTGATGGTAGTGGTCACTGGAGACCATTGTAGGCTTCCTTATGCATTTTCCTGTGGATTGAAATTGGTTGGGGACCTTAGTAGTCTTTAGCTTTTAATATTGAACTGATAAATTTCTTCCACACCATGATTTTTTTCCTTTGATGCTGTGTTGTCAACTTACAATCACCTTCATGATGATGGCTTTTTAAAAAGTTTGGTTTTGAATTTGTTCTCCTTCACAAGAACTGCCTGGTGGAAGAGACCCTCCGATGCAGCATGATCCAACTAGAAAACAAGACAGGAATGGTTCTTTAATGTCAAAATGTGGAGATGATGGTAGAGGCAAAGGTATTCGGGATTCATCAGATGAAGCGAACCATGAGGTTGCAACAAACCAAGAATGTTCTACTATAGAGATAGCCTCCTCAACATCAGGAGAGGTAAAAATTACTATGAGCTGCAGCTCAGCTCCTGGGAGATCAGAATTTCGTTTGCCTAGTCGAGATCAACTTTTAAAAATGATGGAGGATAAATGTCTGCAATCATATAATATCACTGACCCAAATTTTTCTATCACGAAACTGTTGAGAGATATGTGTGACTGCGTGTTGGAATTCAGAACTGATTCAAATGATGACTCACAGGAGGGATCTGAAATGATGACATCAAGTCTTGTATTGAAGGAATCGCAAGCACGTGATGCTCTGAATATCAGAGGCAATACAGAAGATTTAGGAATGCATGCTGGCACGTCAAATGGATCAATCAACATTCAGTCTTCTTCTGCACTGGTTGCATCTCGCATTTCCACTTCTCCCCCGCTTTTGAGTGGTATGAATGGTGCTATACCAGTCACCAATAAGGCCGGAAGTGATTTTCCAGAGTGTGGTGATGGAAAAGGGCTGGAGGATCCTACATCTCCACATTTAGGTAGTTTGGTTGTTGTTCAACAGCATCAGCTTACTCCCGATGATCTAAGGTCTCTTCATGGTGCTGAAGACCTTTCAAAAGGAGAAGAAAATCTTAGAATTCCATGGGTGAATGAAATAACTAATGATTTCCCTCCACCTTTTCACTATCTGCACCAAAGCATTGGTTTCAGAGATGCTTATGTTAACTGGTGTCTTTCAAACATAAAGTGTGAGGATTACTGTTCAACTTGTTTGGGCGATTGTCTTCTGTCCCCAGCGTCTTGTGTTTGTGCAAATAAAACTGAGGGTGGATATGCATACACGTCTGAAGGGCTACTGAAGGAAAAGTTCTTGGAAGAGTGTATTACCATTAGCCGCAACCCTCAACAACATCAGTTCTATTGTAGAACCTGCCCTCTTGAAAGAGCAAAGAATGATGATTGTTTAGAACCATGCAAAGGACACTTAAAGAGAAAGTTTATCAAAGAATGTTGGGTGAAATGTGGCTGTGTGAAACAATGCGGCAATAGGGTTGTCCAACGAGGAATCACTTTCCAATTGCAGGTGGGGGGCTTAAGTAATCTTAAACAAGTGCTGATTTAATTGTTGTTTTTTTTATTTTGCAGAATAGTGCTTCTAGCTGCCACACATGTATTTTCTTCTGCTTTGACATGACATTAATTGATCGGTTTTTCTTAAATGCATATGAACTTATACATCTTTTCTCTCAATCTTTTGCACTCTAGGTGTTTTTCACTTCAGAAGGAAAAGGATGGGGTCTTCGTACCTTAGAGGAGCTGCCAAAAGGTGCATTTGTGTGTGAATTTGTGGGAGAAATATTAACTCTCAAAGAGTTGCACGAGAGAAACATGCAGTGTGCCCAAAATGGAACATACACATATCCAGTTCTATTAGATGCAGATTGGGATTCAGGGGTTATAACTGATAAAGAAGCTCTTTGCTTGGACGCGGCATCTTATGGGAATATTGCTAGGTTTATAAATCACAGGTACTAAAATTCTAGTTTTAAATGCTTGCAAGGATTCGTATATTTCTGTTCCTTTTGTGAGAGTTTTCTTCTGATGGTGTGATTTATGTGCTTTTAGCTTGCCTTTTCTTATAGTTTCATTCTTCTCTTTCACTAATTATTCTATGCTGAATAGGATGATTCAAAGATAGAGGGTAATTTCCTTCTGGCTCATAAAATGTCATGAAAAGGTTTACATTGTTTTAGACAAATAACACTAGTTGCTTCTAGTTTCTACTATATATTTTTAGGAAAGGAGACTGATCTTTTGATTATTGAAGATGGACAAAATTCAGAAAGAAGTTGTTTGGTTATGAATGGATTAGAAAGATTATTATTTACCTAAACATCATGGGAAGACTGAGGTTCTTTCATTCTCTGTGCCCTAAGGTGATGATCAACTTGTGATAGAGTGATTCCACAAACCTTGGCCCATTTTTTATGTGATAAATTAATTTCATCTGCCCAGATGTTTGGATGCAAACCTGATCGAAATCCCAGTTGAAGTTGAAACCTCGGATCATCACTACTTTCATGTAAGAAATTAAACCCTGGATTCTTCATCTGTGTCAGCTCTGTTGGTATGACAATCTATAGATCATTTTGCCTGGTGATGCTTTTTTTTTTCTTTCCTTTTTTTTCTGTCAATTGTGCAGCTTGCTTTCTTCACATCCAGAAAAGTAGCTGCACTGGAAGAGCTTACTTGGGTAAGTAGTTTTGGTTTTATGGTGTGGTGTTTGGTGAGTTTCCCTTGGCCATGTGGATTGCTTCAATTTTATGTGGTTCTGTTACGTCTCTTCTCTCTAGTGTCAAGTAGAGCGTGAATGGCAACAGGTGATGCGGTTGAGATAATACGCTCTCCGTCCTTTTTAAAAGCAATCTTGGACTTTATCACATAGATAAAAAGTAAGTTAAAGACAATAAATAAGTAGAAATTGGAAGTTCTTTTTTAAAATATCCTCATTTATGAAAGAGAGAGAGCATAAAAAAGAGAATAAGAAAATTATGATAAAGAGAATTATAAAAGAGAGAAAATGTAGATGGAGAGAGATAATGGTTTGGGAAATGAGATAATAAATATATCGGGTATTAAAATAAGTAATTAATGGGGGCAAAATGAGAAATCTGCTACAAAAATTTAAGCAAAATAGGAAATCTGCTACAAAAATTTAAGACAACTTGTAAATGTTGCTTATATTAAGGGACAAGAAAGGTATAGTAGTTGTTGCTTATAAATAGGGACGGAGGGATTATTGAATAAATCATGATTGAAATAAAGTTTTAGGCTTGAATACACGTGTGGCTACTTTTCATGGAAATTTTCGTTTGGTTCCTCAACTTCATTTGCAGGCAATGTTGCTACTTAGCAGTTTTGTGGTTGATCAATTTATGCAACTCTTCCTATTTTCTAATTGATCCTGGTTAATAGTCCGTTCTTAATAATGAGATGGACTTGGTGTGTCTGCAGGATTATGGCATTGACTTTGATGACAATGAGGGTCCTGTTAAGCCATTCTCTTGCAGATGTGGCAGCAAGTTCTGCAGGAAGATGAAGCGATCAACTAGTAAGCACCCCACCCCCCAAAATTTTTTTTTTTTAACGTAGCATTACTGGCCCCTTTCAAGGAAATTGTCAATTACAATTTCACGTTAACTTCTAACTTTATTTTCTCCTTCACGAGCTTAGCTTTGCTTCTAGACTTTATTTCCTGAAAGCGTTCTAGACAATATCACATAAGCTTTGCAAATATTGACCAAGCTAAACTACATTCAGGATTCAGAGGATGGCCTTGATGTATGTGGATTGAATTGGTTTAGCTGCAATCCCAAGATGAAAACATGCCAATCTTTACAGGACTACGTATATTGCTACTCGCTTTATGAGACAAGACCATGAATGTGGATGGAAGAATTAATTATGCTTTTCTACTATGAATACGTTTGCCCCATTAGTTGGTCTCGATGCTTGTGGTACTCACTAGTAATTGATAAGCCCATGGATGCTCCTAATGATTGTGATGTTCGCTTTCATGACTTCCTGCAAGTATGATGCTAGTAATTCTTTTTTGCCATTTTCATGTTGCAGGGTCCAATAGATCTGCTTCTGTTGCATGATGATAGCTGTGCCCCAAAAACTAATATCGACGTCTCACTCTTGCCCACCGCGAATAGGAACAGACTCGATCTAATGAATCGGGCTTGTTTCTCTTTTGACGTTGGAGGTTGGGCAACAGTTGCAGTGTACAATGTTTTTTAAGAGTCTATCGTTGCTTTCAAGAACAGTGTGTCGTTGTTTTGTTACCGGACCATCCAGCAGCAGGGGGCTGGTTTCTCAGTAGAGGATTGTTCTGTAAACTGTTATTCGATGTTGCGCCTAATGCATGGCAGACCTCAGAAAGCCCTTTGGCCATTTCTGTAGTTAAGTTGAAAAGAAATGATCATGCACATGTTAAGCAAATCTATTATTTCCGAGGGGGTGAAACAGTTGAGGAACGCTGCCTCTATCGACGCAATTCTAAGACTCAATGTTTTTTGGTTGATGCATGTCATTTTTTATGCAAGGGTTGTGTAGGGACTAGCGGAGAGCAAACTTGAGTAACCAGAGTTGGGCAAACAGACAATAAGCGCAAGCGCATAGCATTAGGTAAAAGCGTGCTATACAGTTAACTTGAAGCCATAGATTACGCTATTCTTGTTTGGTTTTTATCTGACAAAAGCCGGCGTAGCCGATGACATTGATTCTCTGCCATGAGGACTGCAAAGAACTTCTGGATCATAACCCGAAGGCATAATTGGTCTGATGCTCCCTGGATTGAGTGGGAAAAGCATTTTGTAATAACCATCCATTGTTTCAGTGAAATTGCAGGTTTCTGCCACCTTCGGTATCTGGGGGTGTCACCAACATTCATTAAAAATCTGAGTAGATGAAGGTTTGACAGAAAACGGAGAAACCGGGTTTTCATTACGTACCTGATAAATGTCACGCATGTAGGCGTGCAGGTTGGGATACTCAATGAGCTTCCTCTTGGTGCACTTGAAAATCCCGTTATACACAAGATCAAACCGAATTAGAGTAGTAAAAAGGCATACATCCACAAGGGTGAGCGCGTCTCCACACAAGTATCGCGAACCACCCAAGTGCTTTTCCAACACGTCCAGCGTCTTGAACAACTCATTCACTGCTTTGTCATATGATTCCTGGCTCTGCGCAAACCCACACCTGCAAATGCAATGACCAACATATCAATTTGATCAACCAAGCTAAACCACTATTTTACTAATTGCCCTCTCAGCATTACATTACCTATACACCCCATTATTCACATTTGGATATATTATCTGGTACCATTCCTGAATCTTTCCCCTCAATTCAGGGGGCGAAAGATCCAAAGTTGGATTGCTAGCCACCTCGTTTAACTCCGAATTGAATAGCTCAATAATATCATAGCTCTCATTGCATAAAACGTCCATTTTATCACCATCCCATAACATTGGCACGGTGGATCTTCCATCATACCCACCGCTTCTCAGCCTATAAACTTCCTTCAACGTCTTGCACCCATTCGCCTTATCCAGAGTAGGATTAAGCTTATCCTTTTCCCCATCACGGAAATATTTGAATTCCCATGATCCGTCCACTCCTGGGGAAGCAACAGAGACTGGCACCGCCTCCTCCAAGCCCTTCAAGGCTCGGACTATGAGGGTTCGGTGGGCCCAGGGGCAGGGCAGTCCCACATAGAGGTGGAGGCGGGTTGGGCTTGAGACGGAGAGACGGGAGGCTCGGAACTTCGAAGCGGGTCTTGAATAGCCACCGGAGGGATCAGAAGGAGCCAGCTGGGACATCATGACCCGCCACGTGGAGTTCCAAGACGTACGGACGGTGGCGATGAGGAGACCTGGTGGGAGAGATTGGCCCCACAGGAGCTTCGTGAGTGAATTGATAATGGACGAATTTGAATTTGAAGGTTGAGGGGTTTGGTTGAGCGACATCACGGGCCGGATCCTGTTAGAGTAGAATCGGGTTGGTTTTCGTTTGGAAGGACGGAAGCTACCGTCACGCACGGTGGTCACCGGAGGGATGACCAGGTGATGAGGGAGAAAGGAACTGCCGGCCAGCATTCTCCGAGCGACTTCCCGAAGGATAGTGGGGTGGGCATCATAGCGCAGGAAAAAGAAAAAGGGGGTATTTTTGTCAAATTATTTTAAAACCGACCCGAATAAGTCCTGATGATACTGGGCTAGATTTAAAAATTTGGACCTACTATCATTGATTTTGTGAGCCCAGATCCATATTACCCCTAAACCCTAGTCATCGCCGCGAACGCGAAGACGGAGCCGTCAGATTGCTCATATAAACTCATTCTTTCCTATTGGTGGGAGTGGGTGAGAGCTTCGGCGAAGAACAATGTCGAAGAGAGGTATTGCTGATTGTGTCGTCTAGCTTAGATTCTGGGTTCAGAGATTGGTGATTTTTTTATGCTGACGGTTCGTTTGTTTTGACCAGGTCGCGGTGGATCGGCCGGGAACAAGTTCCGGATGTCACTGGGTCTGCCAGTGGCGGCGACTGTGAACTGCGCTGACAATACCGGAGCCAAGAACCTGTACATCATTTCAGTGAAGGGGATCAAGGGTCGCCTCAACCGTTTGCCTTCTGCTTGCGTGGGGGACATGGTCATGGCCACCGTCAAGAAGGGAAAACCTGATCTCAGAAAGAAGGTCTTGCCTGCTGTCATTGTTCGCCAGCGCAAACCATGGCGCAGAAAGGATGGCGTCTATATGTACTTCGAAGGTCATTCTCTTTCTTAATTACTGGGAAGAGCATCTTCCATCCTGTCGCTGTTTACATGTTTTTCATTCCATGTATGATGTTCCGTTATGCTTTGTTGTCTGTCCATGTGTTTGTGTAGACTGTGTGATTTTCATGTCGTTATATTTAATTTAATTAGCAGACTGTTGTCAGTTTAATTAGCTTGTGAATACATACTGTATCTTGCTTGCTTATCGTCCCGGTGGAATAGATTTGGGGAAGTGTTCCTAGGATTTTAAGTGGTGATGTCAATGAGACAATAACGAACTGACAAAGTGACAATAGTCAAATGTATGTATAAAAGAAGAAAAATGTTACCTGTTTAAGACATCTTTCGTTTGTTTGTATAAATGTTATTTCTCAGAGCACCGATTTTGGGTTTTCGGTCATACACATTGCCGATTGTATGTTGCGGTTTAGAAATTTCTGTTTCAGTTTTCTTTGCTGAACGATGATCAGGTCTAATCTAATTTATCTCGACATTACTGGACCGGACATGCCTTTTTGAGGGTGAATAATTTCGTCTCTTTGCTTTTTTTTTTTTTTTGGTTGCTTCTAGTAATACCAAGTGGCCACTCCACTAGTTGGTCATCCACAATTAGAAGCATATAGCAAAGAAAATGCCAGTTTTAAACAGCATGATGTTTATTTCTTGCATTGTGTTACCTGTCTCCTGGTACATGTCGTTTTACTCCTCCCTTGATCTCCTGCTATGGCTAATTTCGATCCTTTAATGTCTGTTTTTATGCTGAAATGGGACAGTTTAATTAGATGTTTCAAGTTGTAAGTAAGAAAATGGGAAGTAGTTGTCAAGTCGATTACACAGGCCCTTTCTTCTCTGTGTGGCGGGGAAGTGGGAGTTGAAGTAAACCATGGATGTGTATGGGAAGTCCTAATGCTTGTCGTGTGTGTGTGTGTATCTCGACCCATTATCGTTCCTTATGTTTGACCTGGATTACAATTTTTTGCTCTCATGTTAGGGAACAACTGGTGACTTCTAGTTTTGCTTTATGCAGATAATGCCGGTGTCATTGTTAATCCCAAGGGTGAAATGAAAGGTAATTTCTTGTTGAAGTTGAATTCTCGATTATTATGATCAATGCGGCTTTTCTTTCACACACACACACAACAATTTTATGAGGATAGATTTTAGTGTGCCGATGATGTCAATGGCTCGCATCTTTTATCTGGTGTTTATGTTGATTTCGACTGATTAATCTAATTGTTAATGTAGGTTCGGCCATTACCGGTCCGATTGGCAAGGAGTGTGCTGATCTCTGGCCAAGAATTGCAAGTGCTGCAAATGCAATTGTTTGAATTATGGAAGTAATATGACAGATTGTATTTTCTTGTAGGATTTTGAAGTCATTTGCGAGGTTTTGTTTACATTCAAAGTTCTACGGAAAGTAATTTAGTTGGTTTTCCTTTGTTACGTCAATCGTTGGTAAGAAATTAATTGGCAGCTGAGGAGTTGTTTTTATTGTTGCGATCTTGTCGCCTTTCCACAGTTTAACCTTGCGGCCTGCTTGGACGAGTTTGAATGCATGGATTTATTTGATTTTTTTGGTGCATGTCGATCGAGGCTTTATGGCGGATTGACCGTTTTACGAGGGGAGCGGCTGCCATTTATTTGTTTGTTTTAGATGACCCAAATGATTTCTTTGAACTCGGTTACTTTTATATAATTGAAAACTAAGGCATTAGGGCTCATGTATGATGTTCAACCGTCGTCTATCGAACATAAGAAAAAACTTTTTTTCCGATTTGATCTTAAGAATTTTATGGGGTTTTTTATGTCAGTTGGGCAACAGATTGCAATGTGGGTGAAATTTGGAATACAATTTTGTGGTCCAGCATTTGAGAGGAAAAAAGTAAGCCACACATTCAACAGCGAATTAGGAAATGTAAACATTCGATGTTGTCTTTTTATTTTCTTAAATATATTCTTCTCAATGTCTATTATACGGCATTTTGTCAAAAACAAAAAAGTCTATTATTACGATCTTAATTACATTTTAAAATCCATCTTTTTAATGGTCATTTTACAATTTAAATATATATTGAGGTCTTTTTACCCCCCATATTTTTGAACAAATTAATGACCAAGGTAGTACCTTTTGAGGGGGCAAATGTGGGTATATGTTGTGCTATTTCGAAAAAGGAAAATTATTTTGCAGGTATCTATTTTTTTTATTAATTATTAGTTTGGCATGTTTTCTGATGTGGGCTGTTGGGATTTGGGAACGAAAGCATTTAGTGATGGAGCACCTTTCGGCTTTTATGGAAGATCGAGTAACATCTCAGCTGACAGCTCTGGCCGGTAGCCACACAGCCTTGTCTAGAAAATTGAATGCCCTTATCTGCGGCTGAAATAACAACTGGAATCATAATCTAGCAGCAACTCCGATGGCCGCAACTAATAACCAGCAACAACATAAGTACATAACCCCATTTAGCGCCACTCGAGAGAAGTCTATCTCTTTGTTCATCCTCTGAGTTGGCCATGTTGGTTTTAATGTATGATGTAAACATCTTCGACTTTTACTTGTAACGCTGGCAAATGTGGCGTCTCCTCCTTTAACCACCTGGCAAACCTGCCGTTCCACTACGTCCCCATCTTAACCAATATCCCTCGTCCACCTCAACCAACAATTCTGTTTAACATTTCTCTGTGTAGCTTTATCTCACTCCGCTGTGACTTGTGTTTCAAAGATCCGAGTCATATATACACATGTCGCAGTTGACTCATCAATCCACTTTAACACCCCCCCTCCTTTCCCATTCGTTGAGGTATATTTGGCGAATACGTATCCACGGAAGTAGCGTGATCCTACAATAATCCCTTTTTCTTTTAAGATTTTCTCCGGCATGGATAAATTTTTGTAATAAATTGTTCCCAAATCCTTCTTCTTATGTACCTTTCGGTGGGTCTAAGCATGACAAGATCGGCCCTTTTATTGTGACTTTAAATCCATTTGGTGTCTTCGTCTTACACGTATCTTGCTTGCCATGAACTTTCCAGGCAGAAAAGCTAGTAGCAAGTTAATTCACTGAAACTGGTCGCTTTCTCTACTTTCAGGTACGGATTGCCCGCGTGTCACTTTTGTGTCGGAGACGACCTCATTCTAGTACTCCGTCGTCGTCGAAGCATCATGGAAAGTTCCCTAAATTTTAGAGTTATAAAGACAAGACAATCACAAAAATGAAAGACGAAACTTTAGACTTCCAAAAAGGGCTCATGAAAATCTCAAGCGTTTGGCCTAGTAGTAAAGACGATTATATATGCGATGTGATTACGTATAGTATCATTCCCAGTTTGAATTCTTAGTGGTGGGAATAATAAGTTAATCAAATGAAGTGGCCTGGGCACAAATAGTTTTAGACGCCACTTGACTATACCATGCAAGAATAGAAAAAAAAAAACAGTGAACTAATGATGTTACATCACTAATTTCTATACGCTCCATGGTGGGGTCATCAATGGTGGCGTGGAATGCACTATCCTTAGTATCATGAAACTATTCATGATAATGTTTCTTGTCTTCCACAAATCAGAAAGTGACATCGGAAAGAAATTTCCTTGCCTGCTCTTTATAGTGGACAGACGCTTGAAATCTTCACTTTCACTCTTTCCTCTGGTCTTGCCCCTTATGATGATTCTGCACTTTCTGTACCGATACTAAATCCTCCAGTTCTCTAGTCTCTACATAGATAGATAGATAGATAGCTCTCAGATCTCAAAACAATGGAAGTGTCAAGGTTTTCCAGGTTTCAGAAGAAGGTGGTGGCTAGCTCGTCGTCGGTGACACTTGGTAGTGTTCTAAGAAGGGCCTCACTTAGCTGTTGTCCAGGATCAAGCTTTCTGAGACAGATGGTGTGTAAGTTGAAGGGTCGATGGAATAAAGCTTTGGGGTGGCAAAGAAGAAGCCCACACCCACAGTACAGTTATGATCATCACAGTTATTGTCTTAACTTCGATGATGGTACTTTAAACGAAGAAAATTATTACTGATAATATCGCTTCGTTCAAAAGACTCTTTCTTTCTCCCTTCCCAAATGATGTATAGCTTGTTCTATAGTTTGATGCTATTTCTTGCTCTGTAAATTCCATCGTCATCATCGATCGTTTCTTACTGTTGATGGAATTTTATGTAAACCCGGAAAGCTGTTTTCTTTCTTCGTGGGAAGAAAGCAAAGGACTCACTAGAGTTCTTACATTTAATGCTTTATATCTTCATCTGTCAGTCCTTGAAACGAAGGCTTGTATCAACTAAACGGATCAAAAAGACTTGGAATTCATGATATGAGATCCGTTTTTTCTTCACTTTCTTTCGCTGTTTTTCAGAAAGGAATGTTGGAATAACCGTGTTTGTGTTTTCTTCTTCTTGTTGTTTTTTTTTTTAGCAGAAAACGATGCCTAAGCCCAAAATAAAACGAATGCCGGAATTTTAATTTCGAAGATAATAAATTTGATCTGCCATTTGATCTGTTGTTGATGTTGACTCATGCGGCGTGTAAAGTAATATTACCTCGGGTTCTAATTATAAGAGTTGATTGATTAATTTGAGGATATTAAAAAAAAGTTAAATTAGTTATTTGTAATAAATAGGTGTTGTTTTTTTTAAATATCCTTACTAATTAAATGTTTACTTTGAAAAAATACATGAATATAAAAGATAAAATAGAATGGGGCTTTATATTGAAAACTAAAATAAAAGTTAAATGAGGTCTTATATTAAAGATTGGAGGTAGTAACATTTATGGTGTTTGATTTGGCGTTGAATGTGGTTTTCAACCATGAAAACAAACGTGTTTTAAATTTGATAACGGTTTGGATCTGAGAGTGGTTGTAAAGGAATTAATTAAAATAAGAAAATGGAACGGAATTAGTGTATCTTTAATAAATTACTTTGGCCTATAAATTAAACAAATTGAAATACTTATATATGCATTAAATTAATTAATAAGCTAACTGAATGAAAAGCCAGACAACGCATTCCATAGCATCCTTCAAGGCATGACCATGTTTTACTGGAGCTTGCGTGATTAGTTTGCTTATAATAATTTAGATAAGAACAAAAATTTTTTTTTAAAGTGTATAATGTTGGTGTATTATTTGTGACAATGATATGACAATTTTAAATATTATAAATGTGTTTTCTAGGAGCTATGCAAGTGTCATATTAGTTAGAAGGGTTATTTAAATAAAAATCAAATCATAATTTTAAAAATAATTTTACGATATATGAAATAAATATGTAAAAAAAACTTTGTTTCGATTGATTTGAAAACAATTAGATGCTGCTTTGCACTAAAAATTTGAAATTTTCTATAGCTAGCTAAATATAAAAGCAATTAATTCATTAATATCTAATCATTATATATTATATTTTTCATTTTTCATAAAAATATTTTTTTCTTCAAGCCATGTTTCTTTTTCTGGGACGCTTCTAAAATTAGATGGCTTTTATAAAAATATAGTGGCCTTTGAAATAAAATAAAGGCCAATTTGTTACTTCGTCCAGTAACATATTTCATAATATAATATATTTTTGTTTAAAATATTGATTTTTTTAATATCCTTAACTGACCATAAGATTTAATAACTAATTAACCAAACTCCTTTAATTAAATTTTTTTATTGAGGGTCTATTTTGGTATTGTTAAAAAAAAAAACTAATTCTAAATAGCTCTAGTAACTTATATAAAGTTTCTAATATAAGACCAGAAAGAACTAGCATTCATTATTTTTTTTAAAAAATCTCTCTGTTAAGGTGAAAACTAATTATCAAATTTAATTAGGGTGAAAAAGTTAAATAAATTATTTAATTATAACATATGTGATACAATTTTCTTAAAAAATCATGTACAATATTAAATTATATATAATATATAATACTACCTCCGATCCTAATTATAAGAGCTAATTGACTAATTTGAGGACATTAAGAAAAAAAGTTAAGTTAGTTATTTGTAATAAATAGATGTTATCTTTCCTAAAATGTCTTTGTTAATCAAATATATTGGTTAGAACTATCATTATTAGAAGGACGATATTATAAAAAATATATATAAATATGAGAGACAAAGTGGATTGGGGTCTTATACTTAGGATAAAAATAAAAGTCAAATAAGGTCTTATATGACGGAGGTAGTAGTTTATAAGTTAGTTAAGTTAATTTACAAAAATTTAAATATAATAAATAAAATTAAGTAAGACGTAAAATGGAGTTCATGAGATGTAAAATGGAGTTCATGACCTTTTACTTATAAAAAAAAAACAAGTTTTAATGTTATTAAACTAGAAGATAATTGGATAGTTCTTATATTTAAGGGTATACAAAAAGAAAGGCCCCTCCTCAACGGTGAAAACCAGAGGCGCACGTGCAGCCCATTTGATATTTTCACTGTTGCGCCAATCAGAAACATCTTTTAGGCGAACATAGGATGCACCAATCTCCCCCTCCACGTAATAGACGGACTATCCACGCGCTTAGGTGGCGCGTTCCCTAGCTACTTTTCCTTCCCTATCATAGGCCCCAAAGGGCAAAGATAACGCACTCGTCACCGTTCGCTTCTTTGTCTCGCCGGTGACGGAATCTAAAACCACACCCGCCTGTGTCTGCAGAATTAGCCCAACCTTCCCTCTCCAAACTCGTGGTCTTGATTCAATTCTCCACCTTTCTGCTCGAATTTCCCGAGCTTCCTGTGAACTTCTGGGGTAAGGATTTCGTTTTCCTAGTTTCGGGGCACACTACTTCCCTCGTTCAGAAGTTGAGGACATCTTCTCTGTTATTTGCCAATTACCCTTGTGGAGCTTTGCTTTGAATTGATGAATTCACGTCTTTCAGTGTGTATTGGGTCCAAATCGTGTTCGGATTCTTTTACTCATTGAGTGCTTGTTGATTTATTTTATCTGTAGGAATTCTGGTAATATGATTTATTGTTTGCGCGTACATCATTTCCAATATGATATCTGTCTGCATGCCTTGTATAGGCCTCTGGCCATGCACGTCGTGTGACGGTTTGATTATTGAGTATCGAGTGCTTTTAATCGGCACCTTATAATTATTAAAAGATGAGAAATATTTGATCATCTGCTTATGCATTAATTTCCATTTATTGGGACGATCCCTAGCTACTTCTGTAAATGACTCTTTTGTCTAACGTTGGAAATTGAGGCAGTTAAAACATGAGTGGTTTCGTTGATGCCTGTATGCTGCTTCTTGATTTTAAGTATTCCCTGAAAGTACACGAGAGCGTTGGGGAAAAAGCTGAAATTGGGTAAAAGAAGAGTATCGAAAACATTTCTTTTAGTATTTTACTATTCTTTGTTGGTTAAATAATGATTTTTGCAAGTTAAAATGATATTTACCATTTTCTTCGGAGAGAACCGATGATTTGTTAGGGGTTGTATGCAACTCTCCTACTTTTATGCATCTCTGCTGCTGAATATCACTGTTACTCGAATGCTTTGGATCGTAAGCCTATTAATACTTGTCGAGTTAATCTTCTTATCTCTGGCTGCAGTAAACGGTATCAACAGTCATATGGGTTTGCTTGGCAATTAAATGCTCGTATCTTAGTGACCTTAGGCAACATCTTTTGTGGATTCCGGCTTGAACTTTCTCAAGTCATTCAGATGAATAGTTATTGATGTGTACTTGGAACCGACAGGGTAACAGCAATATGATACTGTTACCCCCTATTAGGGTAGTTTTATCTCCTAGTGATGATACAAGAAGCAATTGGTTACAGTCATGCAAAGGTTTGTCACCTAGTTCTGATGTTTGGTATCTTTTAATACACCAATAGAACTGAAACAGAAAAGAATATTTTCTTAATGTTTGACTGAGATGTGTGATCAATAGCGACCTTGGTTCAAGATGTTGACGTTGTATTTGTTGTCCCTGCTCTAATTCTTAATTTCTCGAGCTCTTAAGGATTGGGCATGCTTTTTATTTGTCCTACTTTACCACGGGGTTTTATAGTCTTCATAAACTATATTATTGCAACTCAGTTGTTTTCTTTTGCTAATTTTTCTTATGCTGAAGAAGCCTTTCACGTGAAGATTGATGACAACTTGTTTGATGGGGTCTTTGAGAAGAAAAAACAATTTGTGTAGCATTTTTTGGTGAGTATTGCCACCACAGGGAATTAGAAGTCAAAATGTCTATTAGTTGTTTGAGTAACTGATATTTCATCTTTTCTTTCAACTATATAGAAAAATAATGGAAGCACGCCCTGCTTTTTCCATTGAAAGATCAAGTGCAAAGCAACTCAGTAGCATGGGAATGTCTGGAGCACTGTCTTCGTCTCTGCCTGTCCACCCAACACCCATAGAAGAGACATATTCCAAGTTACCTGATTCTCAGCAGGTTTTTGTGGAAAAAGAGCACTCGGAAAGACCTGTCGCTCACTCAAGTCATTTAAATTCCAGCGGAGCAGTTGGGCACATGTTTTCATCATCCCCTGGATATTCTACTGATCTTCATCACTCATCCCTTTCACCTCATGGAAAACACTCAAGAAATTCGCATTTTATTTCACAGTCTTCGAGTAACATGGCATCACTGCCATTGACATATTCTTCAAGTACCGGACCACTGCCTTCTACAACATCAACTTGTTATTCCAAAGAAAGTAATGGGTCGTGGGCTTTAGATTCCTTCCCAAACATTCTTGATTTTCCTGTACATACTTCCATTAAGGATAGTCAAGTAGAAGGCAGTGCCTGCAATATGATGGCACCTGATGAGTATGGTAAAAGAAATGACTGGCAGGAGTGGGCTGATCAACTGATCAATGATGATGATGCATTGGCTTCTAACTGGAACGACATTCTTGTTGACCCCAGCATTCATGATCCTGAACCAAAGGTGAAGTTTCCCATAACTCAAAGCAATGTCAGATTGCTAAGTTTTTTATTATGATTATTAGTTTTCTTAGAGGAATGCATATTTTGTTGCTTTAGGTGTCATGCCAGAATTCAAAATCATCTTCACAATTGCCAGGGCAGCAGTCTCAAGGTCGCCAGCAACTTTCAGCTTCGTTGGGCGAAAAACATGCTAGTGCTCCACCCTCTTCCTCAGCAAATTCTGCTTCTGCCAAGCCACGAATGCGTTGGACACCAGAGCTTCATGAGGCCTTTGTGGAGGCTGTCAGCCAACTTGGTGGGAGTGAAAGTATGTTCTTTCTCCCTTTTACTAAGTCCCTGTCCTTGGGTTAGTTATGAAACTTCTGCCCTAAGAATTTTTTAATGGCTTGCTTTCTGTATCTCACAGGAGCAACCCCTAAGGGTGTGCTGAAGCTTATGAAAGTTGAAGGCTTAACAATATATCATGTTAAAAGCCACTTGCAGGTATGTTTTCTTTACTTTAACTGTGTAGGTTTATTTGCCAGCATCTACTTTTACTGAGGCAGATCTTGACATGAAATGCAGAAATATAGGACAGCTAGATATAGACCGGATTCATCTGAAGGTAAATAAGATATGCATTGTAGTGAATTGACCTACATGTATGAGGATATTATTTATATATTGTATGCGGATTGATTGCTTTTACTGCTGCTGCTGCTGCTGCAGCAATTTACTGCTTTTTCTTGTGTACATGATGTCAGACTTGGTTTTAAATGATCTTTCATTGGGTTATCAGGGATTCTTTCCTGTACAGTGCATAATTTAGTCATGGAGTTGCTAAATATAATTTATCAAAATGCATCAGAAGCTATGCTGCACAGATTAATATAGGACTGTTGCATACAGTATGGTATGGGGATATGAGAGCTTTTCTGAAGATATTGGCTGTACAGGTGCTAGAGCATTTAGATCAAATAAAAATTTTACTGTGGGAATGTACAAAATAGGATAAAGTTGTTTATTAGTACATTCATTCTAAAAAGCAACAATGCACTTTAATAAATTAAATGCTTTGGCTTGTTGCAATGGCCATTTTCGCTTTCTCTATATCTGAAATGATTAAAGCAAAGCAAAGTAAAATGGAACAATTTGAGCACATAAATCCATATGCCTATACCTGTGCTGGGTATTAGTTTATGTGATATGAAATAGAAAAGAACTGCAAATTAAGGAGTCCTCTCCCCATTCAAATCATCCTTCCTTTTCTAGTGGCATGCGTACATGTTCTGGAAACTAAAAAATGACCGTGTCATTTACTGCTGTTTTTTGTCAACTCTTTAATTGTTCAAGTTATGCATATGATGTATGAATGTAAAGTGATGCTGCTTCTCTTGGTAGTCAGTTAAGTTAGGGTTTGTTAACTACTGTTGGCAGGATCCTCTGAGAAAAAGTTAACTCCAGTGGAAGAGATGACATCTCTAGACTTGAAAACGTAAGTAAACTATTTTCAGCTATTAAGTAACCTTTTCATCGATTCTATTGATCAATGAAAATTCCCAGACATAATGTCTTTCTCTAATTTGACATTGCTCACACAAGCATGGTAAAGGTGATCGTCTGATGGCTGAACATGCATGGATGAGGAAAATAACTCATACATGTATACATATGATAATTGTTATGCTCACTTTACTTGTGGTCTTGTGCATTGCTGGCAGTGGTATTGAGCTCACTGAAGCTTTGAGACTCCAGATGGAGGTTCAGAAGCGCCTGCATGAACAACTAGAGGTATGAAATTTGTTCTTCAGATTTTCTGATTTCTTCAAGTAAACTACATTCAAAACCTAGAAATGTGTGTTTCAAATTCTTTGTCGAATTGCCGTGACTATTGAAATTCATATTCAGTGTTATAGGGATCTAGGTTTTAATTGGGGAAGTGAACAGTTTTGAAGCTTAACACCCATTTTCCTTATGTTGGATGTGTCCTTTTTCATGGTCTGATGCCTCTTGCCCCTTTCCTCCTTTTGTTAGATTCAAAGGAATTTGCAGTTGCGGATTGAAGAACAAGGAAGGTGCCTCCAAATGATGTTTGAGCAGCAATGCAAATCTGGTGTCGAAAAGTTTAAGGCAGCATCATCTGCCATTGATGATCCCTCTGGAGTGTCATCAGATGCTATTAAAGATTCTTCTGCCAAAACTGAAGTGGATGTCTCCCAAGCGGGCCATTGCCAATCAGGAACTGAGCAAGATAATAGCAATGCCATAGTTGAAGAATGCTTACTGAAAGATGATGACAAGCATAATGCTCCTGAAAGTCACAGTTCTGATAGTCCTAAGCAACATGCGAGTGAAGATGATGTTTTAATGCTCAACCATCAAAGCGTCAAAGGA